AACAAAAAAAAAAAAAAAAAAGAAAATAGAGAAAAAGAAAAAGAAGAAAGGAATTCGCAATTCGCAGGAGAGGATGTTTTTCGATAATGTTCCATAACACCTGACTGTTAACACCGTGTTACACCGCATCCATTTACAATCGAGCGATGTACACACATTCCTGAATAGATTCTGCCCTCGTTCCTGGACCGTTTTTGCGCTCGATAACCGGGATTTTATGGATGAACACGATTCCCTCCGATTTTCCACCGTTCTCTCCGCTCCACGAAAAATTTCACGGCTGAACGAAGGGGAAAAATAAAGGAGAAAGACGGGGTTTGAACTCGTGGCACAGATTAGAGACGCGGCTATCGTCAAATAAAATATATACATTTCCATCGTTCGGTGCGTTAAGTGAAAAAAGGGGACTTTACGTATTTTCTTTTCTTCTTTTTTTAACTTTATCATTATCCTTCGAAAAAACTCGTGGCTCGAAACATCATGTTGAACTACGAGTCTTCGAGACTTAATTTGACGATTAATTTAAAATTATTGAACATTCTCTGTGATAACGATAACTCGACCGATTTTTTCCTCTTTTTTCCATACCGTGACTACCGTTCATATTTTGTAAACATTAGGGGAAGGGAAGATCGATTAAAACGCGATGTTGATCGCGACTTTATCGCGGTTACACCAACTATGCGCGGATGCGAACTTTTAATACGAAAACTTTCTCGATATCCAGGGAACAGGCGCGCTGTTATAGGGGAAATTACAACGTTTAGAAACGGAACGTTTAATCCGTTCCACCCCGAGTTATCGCGTTCAACGGCTCACGAACGATTCCTGCTTTTTCTTTCACGATCGTCTCGAGTCGAAACTATTCTCGGCTGAAATATCGTTTCTGCGCGCGATTCAACCTTCACTCTCGAAGATAGAATCATTGTGTTTGATTATGGGTAGGACGAGTTGAAAGAGCATTCAGAATTTTCCCACTTAAAATTTGCGGCGGGTGACACGCGGTTGCCAACCAACCAACCAACGAAGAGTACAAACGCTCTTTCGTTCCGTGGTGTCGTTAAAATGCAAATATAACGTGCATACATCCTCGTAATGAACCGCGGTAGAAGAAGTCGAGTGCGGTTAAAATATAAATTTTAATTTTAATTCAGAAGGAGAGAAGATTCTTCTTTGCGTTCTCGGTCTTTTTTTCTACTTTTTCTTTTTTCCCTTTTCCAGGCCACCACCGATCTCTACGGCAAATGCACGACCACGCACAGTGGAACGTCAGCCGCCGCACCGGAAGCTGCAGGAGTGTTTGCCCTCGCCCTCGAGGCCAAGTGAGTGTGCAAATGGAATTTTAATACGATTCTCCACGAACCACTCCTCTTTGATCTTCCCGCGCAGATGATTATCCACGATATCGAGTTCGTGGCAAATTTTTAATTCTCTGATAATTTTTAATGTTTATAAACGAAACGATCGCGACTTTTCGACCTTTCATTCGTGTTTTATTAATTCTTTCAACAATTCAAAGATCATTTCGTTGTTCTAGATATTTTCGACGAGATAATCCTTATTCTCTCGAACACCTTTCATCGTTTTTTCTTTTCTAAATTCGAGGTAATTCGTAGATCTTTTTTGAAAAAGTGTTAAAACGTTGCTTAAAACAGGCAGAATGCTGTCGTGAAAATGGTGCTTTTTCGATGGTAAGGATGGCCCTCCAGCTTTTACGTCGAGCAGAAGCTTAAAGCCACGATAAATATCGAATTATCAGATGCGGTTGGAAGTGAAAAGCTTTCGAAACATTTTCCAATCGTTTATTTTTAACGTTCAATTTTTGCGCGTAGAATGTTTCCACTCGTTGTCGAAGGAAAAAACTTAGCGTCGATAAACGGTCGAACGATTTTGACTGAACGATTAAACGCGATACTTTCACGATATGCATTCTGTAAATGGAAATAAACGAAGATCGTTAATCGAGCGGATGAATTTTGTATAAATAGTTTTTGCAACGATGCGAATTAGAGTCGAAAATGTTATTAGATCGTGTAAATATTTTTCCGTCTTATCACGAGCCGTAAAATATAAATTGGAAAATATAATTCGTAATAACGAATTCATTTTGCATATATCACGGTGTCGATTAATTATAAAAAATGAGTTTCGCGAATACAAATTTTCACGAACGTAATATCATTGTGAAAAACGTTCGCAGATAAAGATGATGAAAGATAAAAAGGAATTTTTAAATTGTTGTAAAATTCTGTTGTAATGGAGTAGATTCGTAAATCTGATAAGAAAAAAAAAAGAAAAGAAAAGGAGAAATGTTAAACGAGAAGCATAAAAATTGAATTCAACGATAAAAAAAGAAGAACAAGAAAGGAGGGTTATTAAAACAAGAGGAAAATAAAAGAAACGTAAAATAAAAAAAAATTGGAAAAAGCTAAAGAAACGTCGTTTAAAAGTAACAGAGAGAGAGAGAGAGAGAGAAAGAAAAGAAAATAAAAAAATCGAAGTTTTATAAAGGTAGAAAAGTAATAATATCAAATGGCGTATAAAAAGGAAAAAGGAATTAGAAAGAAATAAAAACGAATTGAAAAAATAAAGGAAATAACGTAGAAAGATAAATGAATTACACTTAAAAATATAAGTTAAACATCTTTCTTCGAATTCTTTCCCCGATAAAATACAATTTAATAAAAAGTTATATTCCACGAATAAATATATTATACGCTAGCCGCATATTATATGCTTTCGAAATCGAAATCTCGAGATCTCTGTACGTGTGCAGAAACACTTGCCATATAAACGATTATAAAATGTCAAATTAATTTTATAGCGAAACGAGATAAAGAATTATTATTCAAGAGCAGTAAAAAGCAATTCAGTTATCAACTACGATCTAAAATACGATCCAATTTATAGTTTTATCGTTCGTTTAATAATAAATGATATTGCAAATTGAATAATTGTAATAATAATTGTGAAATAAACGTTACCACGTATTGTATTATCTCTCATCGAATATTTAAGATCGAAGTTGATGAAAATTGATTATATGAATTCGAATTTCTACTGATTATTAATGATCATGTTAAAATTTTAGAAACACGAATTTCGAATATCGTTATAACCGTTATTGTCGACGACACGGTCCGAACGATGATAGCGAACGTGTCATATTGCGTGGTTTAACGACTCGGTGCGAAATTTCGTTGACCTATTCTACTGGAAATATCACGAATAACACATCGATCCACCGAACCAATTAAGGCGACGAATTTTTTTTCTACGAAAAAAAAAAAAAAAAGTATGACAAATACATCTCGAACGAATTATTCATCCATCATTTTATTGGCAAATTATCATGGATTCGTTATCATATTATTAGATATTATCTTTATCAAAACTCGAAACGAGTGGATTGGTTGGCAATAACTCGAGATGGGAAAGATAAATATTCGAAAGTATTCAAAGATAATTTGATTCCACGATTGAAACGGATACGTCGGTCGCCGGGAAAATGCCGAAAATTAAGAAAGAGTATGACGGGTTACAGGAGGGTGAAAGGCTAATGGAGGCCTCGTGTTCGATCGAGCGCTATCGCCGTTGAAACGCGACCCAGTAACAAGGATGTAACATTAAAAGACCGAGGTTTAATGCACGACACTGTCTCTTTGGTGACTTTCCGGCCCCTCTGCGTTTTCTCGTCCCAGTTTCTTTGATCGTTCCGTTGATACGGTATCGGCAAATATTGAACCCTCTCCGTTGAAAAACGAGAATGCGAAAAATGCTCTTCCCCCTTTCCGTGAACTCGAGAGAATCAATATCACTCTGCGATAAAGATTCTCTGGCTGAATCTCGAACGAATCTCGTTTATTCAATATACATATTTTTTTAATATAACATTGTTTAACGTGTTAATTTATTTGATGTTCGAAATGGATAGAAGAAGGTGTGTTGATCATTCAACGTTCTTTTTTACATAAGAGCCACGTTACAGAATCTTCGATTTCGATTTTCAGCCCACAATTGACCTGGCGTGATATTCAGCATCTGACGGTTCTAACTTCGAAGAGGAATTCGTTGTTCGACGCGAAAGGAAGATTTCATTGGACGATGAACGGGGTCGGTCTCGAGTTCAATCATCTGTTCGGTTACGGCGTATTGGACGCCGGTGCAATGGTTGCTTTGGCGAAGAAGTGGAAAACTGTGCCACCGCGGTATCACTGCGAGGCTGGTTCCGTGCTCGAAACTCAGTGAGTGTACTTCCATTCCTCTACGATTCAATCTCGAGGGCGTTTGCCACCCCGAAGGGGCGGCGAGAAACAGCCCTATTCTTCTTCTTCCTCGTTCACGAATCGTCGAGAATCGCGTCTAAAACAGAAGACGCCGAACACGCTTACCAAATCACGATTGGTGGACGAGCGAAGTCTGTCGATCGATGGCCTGTTCCATTTTCTTTCTATCCTATTTTTGACATATCGACATCGCGAAAATATCTTTTCTTCGAGGAATTCGAATTGTATGTTGAAGCCCCCTTTTTCGAAGAGCCAGCGGATAAACAATTTTCCTTTTTCAGGGAAGTGACGAGTGATCGATCGATCCTGTTGAAAATAAAGACCGATGCCTGCGCGGGGACCGATTACGCTGTGAACTATCTGGAACACGTACAGGCCGTCATTTCCGTGAACGCCACGCGGCGTGGTGATTTGGAACTGTTTCTAACCTCCCCCATGGGTACCAGGTACGTTTCTCGATGATTAATTTCATCGGTTTTTCAATTACGTTTCAGATCGTATTTTATCGTATCTATCCGTTCGAACTGAATTTATTCTTCAGATCGATGATTCTGAGCCGGAGAATAAACGACGACGACCACAGAGACGGTTTTACAAAATGGCCTTTCATGACCACTCATACTTGGGGAGAGTATCCTCAAGGGAATTGGTTGTTGGAGGTATCGAATCGAGTAGTTTCTTTTCTCTCTCTCTCTCTCTCTTTCTTTTTTTTCTTCTTTCTCGTAGAAAATCGAGCATTCGAAATATCGTAATCGATTAAATTTCGTTCGTAAGGTGAGCTTCAATACTCAAACACCTCAACACGGATGGATCAGGGAGTGGACCCTGATGCTGCACGGCACCAGAGAGCCGCCTTACACCGGCCTTCCGGCAGCGGATCCACATTCGAAATTGGCGATCGTGAAGAAAGCACACGAGGAACGATCGTCGGCTATGTAACGACGACCCTGAAGAAGAAGAAGACCCTAGATACATTCATATCGAGAGATGTTCACGCGTCTACTAGTCTTATTGTTTAAGGATCTCATTTTTACGAGCGAAATATTCGAATATGCCTTTTCGCAATCGTTCGCTGATAAACCCGTAGAAGAAGAAGAAGAAGAAGAAGAAGCTTTATGTATGACGCTCGACAATTCTCATCTCCTGGATAATTCCTGTATAGTTTAGCATTCGAATGTTTTGCAGACTGCTGCATTCTTTACGTACATTCCTGTGATATCATTTTTTTCGTACTATTTTTCTTTTTTTCTAGCTTACCTGTATTGTTAATTTTCTCCTTTTTACGATAAATTATAGTATTTATATGATTTGTAAGAAACATCGTCGACTTCTTATCAGAGAAAAAAGAATCGTGTTTTTATTCTCGCATGTCGCGTTCGATAATTTTTCTCGAATTAATTTTTAACTTTAATTTACGATCAATCCGATTTTCATTGAGCATGAAAATCTTAATCTCAGAAAAAAAAAAAAAAAAACAGAATCTACGCGATTCGCGTGAGCATTCGTTGAAGTTTGAAGGGAAACTGACGATTTCATTCAGTTTTATTCCACGCGACAACTCCTATCGATGAATGTAAACAGAGAGAAAGAAGAGGTATGGTTGAAGAGGAAAACTCGTTGAAACGAGATAGACATCGGATCTAAGAAATGTTAACTAACGCCAAAACAGAGTCAGCCTCAGTTGGGAACAATGATCATTCGGAATTATTCTCACAACTCGACGACGAGCCCGTCCGTCTCGTACCAATTAACCATTCAATTCGTATAGCTGAGTTTTTTTAACGCGTGTCGAGTTGGGAGGGGATTATCAAAACGGAGGACAAGGAGTACGTAGTTTGACGGTAGTCCACGCGTGCCAACGTTTGTGATTCATCATGGAAGATATTTTCGAGAAATCGTTTCGAAAGTTTCGCGAAAAAAGGATACGACAAA